TTTTTTTTAATCAATCGATCAATCAAGGTCGATGCTTTATTGATGGATTCATCAAGTAAAACAATCAATCATCCAATCAATCAATCAATCAATCATTCGATGATTCATTGATTGATGGATTGATTGATTGATTGATTGACTGTGTAATGACCTGCCAAAACACGGACTAAGACACATAGCTGATTTCTGAGTTTTGCTCACGGAATGAATGCCTTACTGAGTTTCCCGCTTGTTGCTTAGTTTGATAAGTCTGTGTGTGTTTGTGTAGCATGCCCAGTAGGGCAATGTGTGGAAGCCAAGGATCCGCAAAGTGATGCAAATGACTAAATAAAAGGGCCTTTACCCAATTCAGACCCTGTTTGGCGAATGCAGCATAGTGGGGTCACTCGTCCAGAGCCCAACTCATGAAAGCAAATCAAAGGACATGTTCTCTGGGTCAAAAGTCACATCCTAGCTAAAGTAAAAGTCAATGTCAAAGGTCACAGTTGTGCCCCTAGACGAACAGTTGCGATATTCAAATGTGGGAGTCACATCTGTTCATCCAGGGGGTGCGCAGGTCATGTCTGTCCATGCAAGAGATGTGTCTGTACGTATAGTATGTGTGTCTGTTCGTGTGTGTGCGTGTTACATGCCCAGTTGGGCAATGTGTGGGAGCCAAGGATCCGCAAAGTGATGCAAAGGACTAAATAAAAGGGCCTTTACCCGATTCAGACCCTGTTTGGCGAGTGCAGCACAGTGGGGTCACTCGCCAGAGCTCAGCTCATGAAAGCATAGTGGGGTCAGTTAGAAGAGGAAGAAGAAGAACTCTCTCTCTCTCTCTCTCTCTCTCTCTCTCTCTCTCTCTCTCAGTCCGGTACTAACCTGTGAAGTTGGCGCCTTGATGCAGGTACCTCGAAGATGAAGCTGGAGCTATGGCGCCACAGGTAAGTATCTCTGGCCTCCGCCAGCCATCTCCCTCCAGCGCTACTCTGACGCTACTACTACTAGCGCCCAGCGCTGAAGACTGCATCCAGGGGGTGCACAGGTCATGTCTGATTGCTTGTTTGCTTGATGTCTGAATGACCTGTCTGTCTGAATGACCTGTCAAACACAGCTGGTCTGCATGCATGTCTGAATGACCTGCCAAGCACAACAGATGATGTGTGTGTTTGCTGGTCTTCATGCCTGTCGGTTACATACTCGTGAATGCAAATACAAGTATGACTCAGATTCCCAGAACCGACCATATAATACGGAGATACAAACGGAGTGGAAGACTTCATACATGTGGACTGACCCTGACCTGACTTGGACTGCAACGAAAACACTCCAAACATACATCCAGTGCGAGAAAGCCCTGGCCTTGATCGAGTAGACGAGGACCAGGGTCTGATTCATGCACAGACGAATGTAGGGGAAGAGACAAAGGAGGAGGAGAGGGAAGATGACGTCAGCACCATGTATCCCGAAATAGTATCTCGAATGTCACAAGTAGCGCAACCCAGAATGTCGTGAATACAAAGTCTCACACCTTCCAGATATCGATCCTCAAGTATCCAGATACATCTCAGAAGTAGATGAAGCCAAAACCCAGAAGTCCTCAACTCGATGTCTTCCAGTTACCATCCTAACTGCGAACAGAACTCATCACCATCTCTCATACCCGTAGTAATCCGGAACCCAGACGTAGACTTAGAGGAGTAAGAGAAGAGAGAGAGAGAGAGAGGTAGAGAGCGAGAGCGGAGGGAGAGGAGGCTGTAGAGTGCTGCGTCAGTCCTCCTTACTGCTGCCAGAGCCCGGAATGGTAGCTGAGCGCCGCTGCTGTAGAGTGTTGCGCCAGTCCTCCTTGCTGCTGCCGCTATGTCGCGCTCTCCTGGTCTCCCGCTGGCACTGCTGAAAGTTGTGCTCATGTTGCTGTGCTGAGCTAAACTGTGAAGAGCTACGCTAATCCTGAAGAGCAGCGCTAATCTTGAGCGCACTGTGAATCAATAAATCAAGCCATCAATAAATCAATCCATCAATCAATCAATCTGTGAATCTAACTAGTTTTTACCGACCCATATGCTGGTTGTTTTCTAATCTGTTGCAAATAATGACAAATCTTTCACGACAGAGGCCCCTGACGTCAGTAGTATACCATCCACGTGTGCACGCACTGTAGCTGCTATGTTTGCTGCAGACAACTGACGTCAATAGCTGCTATTGCAGCTACGTTGCTGCAACACGTGGTAGTTGCAGCAGCAGCGAGTGCAGCAGCAGCTAGCGGCTGTTGCAGTCCGGTAACGTCGGCAGCGAATCTGCCATGACATCAGCGGATGAATGACGTCAGCAGCAGACCGGCTGCAGCAGCAGCACACGAGGCACGTCAACAACAGGTCCACCACGTGAACAGCAGCGGGCCAGCCAACTCCGCACGCATTGGTCCTGCTTGAACAGCAGGCACAGATAGTGCCGCTTTCAACAACAGGACCCTATCTCCGCCCCACATGGTCCTTTTTTTTTTTTTTTTTTTTACCACGTCAGCAGTGGCCCTCCCACGTCTTATGCGGCAACAATTGCTGCGATTGTTGTAGCAAAAGTTGCAAGCAACAGTCGCAGCAGCAGGTGCCACATCAGCGACTAACGCAGCGGCAGGCCAAGCCACAAGCAACAATTGCAACTGCAGCTGCATCTGTTACAACATCTTTTGCAGCAACAGTTATAACAGCACTTGCAATAACAGTTGCAGTTGTGCAGTTGTGGCAATGGCAGGGCCATCTTTACCTGCGAGCGGGTTGTCGGGGGGTGTAATGGGAAGCGGGACAGAGGACTTTTGCGCGGACCCGAAACTCGCATGGAAGCCGGGAGACCACTGCGTGTGGAATTGGTTGGCGCGCGGGAGGTCAAGGGGGGCGAAAAGTCATGGCGGAAGGGAGATGCAGTGCCTCTTGTGTGGAGTTGTGTTCCCTGGCAACCGCGCACGCGGGATTGAACACTTCACGAAGAAGAGGCAGGGATTACTGTGCCCGAATGTAACCGTGACGATCTACAGGAGGCTGCGTGCTGCGAATGTAGAGTTGCCACCCGACGTCGCAGAGATGTTGCAGCGGGAGGATGAGGCTGCAACACAAACAGTTCAAGATCTCCCTCTTCCTGCCATTTGTGGCGGTGATGACGTAGGAGGTGGAGCAGATGTGGAACAGGGTGGAGAGGCAGCGACAATCGTGGACGCAACTGCAACGGAGGTCACAAGCAGACCGACACCTGCGAGGACACTAAGGCAGACGCTCATGGGTCGATATGTCCGCAATCCGCGCCAGCGAGAGATAGATTTGGCTACCATGGACCTCTTCGCACAAAATGCCATACCGTTCAATGTGGCGAAGAGCAACAGTTGGAAGAAGTTTTACGAAGCCTGCTTCGGGCCTAAGTCTGCAACTCGTTGTTCGTTGAAGCACGTCCCATATGACGCATTGCGGGAAGAACTCATGGACTCTAGGAAGGAGACGTACTTGGAGCGAGAGGCTAAACTACGGGTTGACTGGGAGGAGAAGGGATGTACACTCATCACAGATGGCACCACAGACATATGTGGTCGCTCTATGTTGAACTACATCCTCGAGGGGAGAGACAGACCAGTTTTCATCAAGTGTGATCATGTGAAAAGAAAAGACAAGAACTCTGCCGCAATGCTTGAGCCGTGGAAAAGCTTCCTGAGGGAGAGCATCACAAGCGGTTATCGGGTAGCTGAAAATTCAGGAATGAAAATTCTGAAGTGAGAGTTTTGGGCAGTCTGAAAATTCTGAATGGTCCTAAAGTGGTGAAGGTCCGAAGACCCTGAAAACCACCTGTTTAGGCAGTCTGCATCCTGAAGTGGTGAACAGTGTCCTGAAGTGCTCAAGTGAGAGTTTTGGGCAGTCCGAAAATCCTGAATGGTCCTGAAGTGGTGAAAGGTCCGAAGACCATGAAAACCACTCTTTACCACTTGAGGATGCAGCCTGCCTAAACAAATGGTTTTCAGGGTCTTCGGAGTTTTCACCACTTCAGGACCATTCAGGATTTTCATACCTGAATGGTCATGAAGTGGTGAAAGGTCCGAAGACCCTGAAAACCACTTGTTTAGGCAGGCTGCATCCTGAAGTGGTGAAAGGTGTCCTGAAGTGGTGATGAAAAATACGACTGTTGTTAACCTTCTCTCGAGAACAGACATGTAACTGCCATTTGCACTGACTTCTTCTCATCCAACAAGGCAGTTGCTGAGGCGTTGGCCAAGGATCCAGAATTTCTCATATCTACTGGATCCCATGCACCGCACACTGCATGGACTTGTTCCTCCATGACCTGGGGAACATGAGATGGGAAAAAAATATTGTTGAGGATGCGAACGAAGTCGTCAAGTTTTTTAGGATTCACAATGCGCCGCGGGCGATGCTTTACAGGAATGATAAGACTGTCCTTAAGAGGCCAAATGCAATAAGATTTGGGACCAACTTTATCATGCTTAAGCGCTTGAAGAAAAAAGAGAAGCAAGTGAAAAACACGGTGAACAACATGGAGTGGGAGGAGATGCAGTGGCCGTACGCCATTCGGGATAAGGCGTGTTTTGTCGAGAGGCTGGTGCAGTCCACGCATTTCTGGAATGATATTCGGATGGTGTTCGATTTGATGGAGGGGGCATACTCGGTATTGCGGATGGTTGATCGTGATGTGCACTGCATCTCACATGTTTACGACGCAGCAGTGGCGTTGAAGAATTGTGTGTTTGCAGTTCCGTTGACGGAGGGACAACGTGCTGAAGTGTTGGAGGTCGTATCAAACAGGACGGACCAGCTCCTTAGTCCTGTGCCCGCAGTTGCCAGACTGCTTGACCCCATGTTGCGCGACAGAGGAATGTTCAGCGATCCGACGTTGATGACCCAATTTCGGGGTGTTGTTGAGCATCTTGTGGGTGGTCGGGGGACACCGCAATACCAGGAGTGTATTGACTTCTTGTGTGCATTCCAAAGGGAGCAAGGAATCTTCGGAGATCCAGAGGTGCAGCGTCGTGGGAGCATGGATAGTGCATTGGATTGGTGGGAGGATCACGGGAGGGGACACCCAGCTCTGCAGCGATTGGCACTACAAATTCCCAGCATGTGGACAGCCTCCTCCCCGGCTGAGAGGAATTGGAGCACATTGGCCCTCGTGCACACCAAGGATCGCAACAAGCTAGAGCACGAGAGAGTGGAAAAATTGGTGTACCTCCATTGGAACCTCCGATATAAAGGAAGGGTGCAGGGCACGGCGACGAATAAAAGTGGCTGGTTGGGCTTGACGAATATTGAGACGGATGCAGGCGATGTCGATAATGAAGCTGCTGTAGCGAATGAATGCGCAGATGGAACAGTAACGAGGTCAGCAATTGGATCTACATTTGTGCCACGACCCACAGGTGGGGGCGGTGTGACATCTATAGCACAGAGAGGCAGGGTAGGAGAGTGGGAGGATGGAGATTGGAATGATGATGAATCATCATCTGAATCATAGGACGAGGAGGAGGAATTAGAAGACATGTGGAGGTCTGAGAAATCTGACTCAGACGACTCGTACACAAGGAGGGAGCACATTCTTCCATACAAGGAGGACACACGCAGAAGCAGGCGATTGGAGGAGCAAGGGCAGAATTCGGCACAACAGGAACAACAACAGGCAGGAGCGGCGACACCGACACTAGCAACAGTAAGAGCAGCAGCAACAACAGTCACACAACCACCAATAACGAAAACAACAACAGCAGTTGCAACAGCTGCGGCAACAAGTGCAACTGCACCACCAGCAACAACAACAGCAGCAGCAACAGCAACAACAACAGCAGTAGCAGCACCACCAGCAACAACAGGAACAACGACGGCAAACACAACGGCACCAGCAACTGCAATAGTGGCGGCAACAGAACCAACAGCAACAACAACGGCAACAGCGGTAGTAACATTTGCAACAACAGCAGCATCACCATCCACGACAAAACCAGCAGCAGCAACAACAACTGCAACAGCAACAACACCAACAGATGAGCAGCAACAACAACAACAACATCAATAGCAACGTCAGCAGCAGCACCAGCAGCAACATCGCCAGCAGCAGCAAGATCAACAGCGACAACTGTTCGAGGAGCAGACTCATTTGCAGCAGGGGGCATACGAGCAAGAGCAGCGACCGTGCGAGCCGCAAGCCCTGCCACTTCAGGCCGGTGGCATCTCAGGCTTTTATGGTTCAAACCTCCCGAGTGCTATAGCAGACAGACCAATTCCAGAGGTGGAGGATCCCCAATGAACAAATTCTTTACGTCCCTGCTCCTCGCAAGGCCTGTTGGGGAGAGCATCACACCCCAGAAGGTTGTGGAACCCTGTTGCTCACAAAACAGGGCGAGGCAGGGGTCGAGGTGGAGGTCGAGGCACGCCTGAAGTAGCTGCAGTTGCTGTAGGTTGTGGTGAAAAGCGAAACAAGCGGGGGAGGCCAAAAAGGAGTGGAACCAAACACAAACCTACCACCGCCTTAGCTCCCAGTACTGATCCTAATCTCGCAAGTGCACTGCTGCGGGACGAACATGCAAAAGGCAAAGCCCCAACGGTGGATGCCACGAAGGAGTACGACTCCGACGAGAACTTGCCACTACATGAGCGTAAGCGCTTGCGTGCTGCGGCTGTTGCAGCAGAAAAGTGTGGTAGAGGGGCAGTGATCAAGGAGCGCCAGCAACAGTGATTGATACCAAGAGAGAGAGAGAGAGAGAGAGAGAGAGAGAGAGAGAGAGAGAGAGCTGGCTGGAGGGTTGGTTGGTGGGACGTTGGATGTTCTTGCACTTTGTTAATCATCTAAGCGTTGGGCAATGACTCGTTTGATTTTGTTGTGTCAATAGGAAGCTTGCACTGCCTTTGGCTGTTGTTTGTCTGTGTGAGTGCTTGTGGTGAGCTGCATATGTGCGTATTTATGTGTGTGTATGTGTGTTCGCATATAGGGGCTGCCATGTCACCCTTCAGAACGCAAACAATGCTGAGATAGCAGAACCTCTACCTGCCTTCCATGTCACCAGCAGGTAGAGGGTCTGCCATATCACCCTGCAGAGGTTGTATGGGGTCTGCCATGTCACCCTGCACATGTTATGTGGGTCTTATTATGTTTGGTGACATGGTCGGCAGTAGGTGTCGAATGGCTGATCCAGAATCAATGTCCCCCTCTCTCATTCATACAAGAAATAACAATATCATGTCGAATGGTTGATCCAGAATCAATGTGTCTGTTCGTGCAGAAAGAGTGTTTGTTCGTACAGTAGGTGTGTATGTCCAAAGGCAGTCAAAGAGTTAAGTTCCCAGTCCAGATTCGAGTCAAGGGGAAAGTCCAGATTCAGATTGGAAGTCCGAAATTGAGGCCTGAAGGCCGCTGCAGCAGCAACCCTTGAAGGAAAAGGGTCTGGGACACATTCAAAGTAGATTATCATAGACAAGGAGTGTGCATGTGTAGAGAGAGAGAGAGAGGGACTACTACAGGGATCTAGAGAGAGAAGACAGGGAGTTGAGAGAAGACGGTCAACGAAGTGAAAGATGGTGGACACTTACCTATTTTGCACCATACTGATGATATGAAGAGAGACGCTGGCAGAGCCAGGTCTCATGTTGACGAATGGGTGAAGAAGACTTGTTTTTCATTGCAGACTCTGTTATTGCCCGTACAGGCTCTAGACTCAGACTTGTTGGACTGGTACCCGCCTAGACCTAGCCCACAACTACTGGCCTCTAAAAATGCCACTTTTGTCTTCTTCTGCTCGGCCTCCAGTACCCGCACATCTACACTTTCAAGGTGCGGTACCGGCCTACCCGGTACTTGAGTGTTTTTCCCGCTGCAATCCGTCAATGTCACGGCCACAAGTAAGTACCGGCCCTGAGAGCCCAATAAATGAGCAAGTGCCCTTACGGGCCACACACACTCAAGCCATCCAGCACTCAGACAGGCACGGCCACACACACTCTCAAGGCAATCACTGCCAATCAGCACTCAGACAGGCACGACCACACACACACTCAAGCCAACCAGCACTCAGACAGACATGCAGTCCACCAAGTGTGCACACACACACACTTAGTAGCAAGCGGGAAACTCAGCAAGGCATTCAGTCTATTGGTAAAACTCAGACATCAGCTGTGTGCGAGGCTACGCCCGCTGAGCCCCTTAGAGGGCCCCTTTTTGCAGCACGTCAGCCGCCCTAAGTGAAGGCAGGCACGACAGGCCCTCAGGGCCTCGTTTTTCACGTCACCCCGCAATTGGGAAAAATTCAGACAGTTGCGCTGCGCCAGTTGGTTGAAGGCGCCTAGGCCCAGGCCAGATTTTGCAAATGTAGCTGAGTGGTGCCCTAGGCCAGACGCGGGTGCAGGCCGTGGACAGGCCAACTACCCAGGCCCTGGGCCTGCGTGTGAGGTTTGGGCCTCTGCCTACCGGGGCCTACCGGAAGCTTCCTAGGAAAGGCCAGACGCAGCCTGGGACAGAGCACGGGCAGGCCACTTCCATATAGCAAAGGGCCTGCCACCGCATTTGGCATTCGGGTGCTGGCTGCTTCTGCGCAAGCGCTGCTGCGCTGCTGGCTGGCACTCACGCGCTCACGGGCGAGCGAAGGAGAAGGGCGCGCGCAGCCATAGCCGGGCTGCAGGGGCACGCAACTGCTAGGTGGGGCGCATGGGTGGTCCTTGGGTGCATGCGACATATTGTGGAGAGGATCGGGGTTGTGAGTGATGCGACGGGCATACCTGGTACTTGATGCGACGGCGTGGTCCAAGATCTGCTCGTACTTCGGGAGAGCTGTTGACGGTGACGGGCTGTAGGCTAGATAGGATCTGCCATTCGTAGACTGGGCGCACAGCGCTAGATAGGGAGATCGACATTGGTTTGTGGTTGATGATGATGGGGGTATATCAGCATTGTCAATTTTGAGCTCGTATTATATTCTGTGAGGAATGAGCCCTCAGATGGGGTCTTGCCAACATGCACATGTTCTGGGCATAGGCCCCAAGCAAGCCTTGTGCCCGCCCTAAGTGAAGGCGGGCCAAACCTGTGACCGCCCTAAGTGAAGGCTGGTCAGGATATCCACGAACAAGGCATTTCTTTCAACAACATTTTCGTAAAGTGGGTATCAAACAGTTGCAGCACGCCAGTTGGTTGGAGTGCATCGTGAATCCCAGACTCTTGCGGGAAGCAGTTGAGCCCAGGGCCTCAGTTGGTTGAGCCCTGGGCACAAGCCAAGGGAGGCCGACACATCACACAATGGATGTCGGCCAATGGGAAAGCAGCATTGCCGCCGTAGACCAATGGGAAAGCAGCATTGTCGTCAATGAGGCCGAGCAGACCCTGGGGAAACTGGGAAAGGTCTGCATCTGGAGGACGGCCCTGGTACAAGGGGCGCAACTGTACAGACCGGGCGACATCGAGACTGGGCCTGGGCGCAGGGTCTGGGGCTGAAACGCAGGCTCAAGGTAGGCCGCCCACACGCAGCATTGGCATATAGGCAGAGTGTGCGAGTGGGCAGGGATCCTTGGCCAATGCAGGCATTGCCGGCACGCTGCGCGAGTGCAAGTGTGCTGCGCTGTGTAAAGCTGCGTTGGGCATGAGGAAGAAAGGCAGCAATAATACGGTGGTGCGCTGCCTGGGCGCAGGGCGCTGGTGGCCATAGCCGGGCTGCTGGCGGGCGCAGTGGAGGTGAGGGGAGAAGGTGGTTCTTCGGAGGTGAAGGGCGCTGTGGGTTATCAAGGGAGAGTGTGGGTGAAGAGAGGACGTACCTGGTGGAGGGAGACTCGGCATTGGTGTTGACGTCATCACTCGCTGGTCTTTAAGTTGTCTAGTTGCTTTTCATGTTGTAGTCGTAGTACTAGGCTGTAGTGTAGGTAGGGAGCCTGGTGCCATTCATGAGAGAGAGCTACATTGGGTTATATTGTTGGTGCTGCCCGATTGGGCATGGACATTGACTCACGATTCTGTTGTATCATTCTCAATTGGATGGTTACTTGGCTCCATTGTGCTTTCTGCTCATGCTTTGACTACATGGACATCAGTGTGATTTTGCATTCGGGATTTCTATGCTTCGTCCATATTCATGTTCCTTGCAATTCTTATTTGGTGAAACTCGCTGCACATTTCTGCTTTTGGTTCGAGGTCAAGGGCTCGTGTATATGATGCATGTTGATTGTTGAAGTTCGCTATTGCTCATCTTCCTTGCATGTGTATTTCAGTTCTTGTTTGGACGGGTTATCACACTAAGGAGGCAGACCCTCTATCTGCCTCGCATGTCATGTCAGCAGTTGGTAGAGGGTCTGCCACAACAGCTCTCCGGAGCCAACGCAGCTCATTAAAAAAAAAAAAAAAAAAAACCGGCTACGTCTGACCAGCAGAAGCCGCCTCATGCAAAAAAATGAGGCCATCGCCCCATGCCAGACTGGATTGTGAGAAAACAGCAGTAAATACCCGAAGGCTTTTCACGGACATTTTTTTGCCATACCGCCCCCATAAACAAGTTTTTTCGAGCGGTTTTCAGGTTTTTTGACTTTACGGAGTCTACCGAAGATGCAAAAAAAAAAAAAAAAAAAAAAAAAAAAAAAAAAAACCTCGTACGGAACCCCTAGCGTACAAGTAGCGTACAAGTACGATTCATACTCTCGTACGCGTACGGAGGCCCGTACAAGTGGCAACGCAGGTTGGAGCGTTAGCTAGACGATCTGATGGAACTCTTCTTTGAGAGTTTGCTTGAAATATTCCTGGAGCTTTCGTAAATGAATATTTTGTAAGATTTTCAGTTGATGATATGGAGAAATGTATTACAGTATTTTAGGCACATTAACAACATATTGATGATTTATTATTTTTTTTTTTTTACCGTCGTCGTCTTTTCTTAGGAAGCAGTTGTCCTATAAATTGTATCTTTTTTGTTTTTCCCTCTTCTTTTGCCTTCTCCTCTTGTTTGAAATTCGTATATTGACATTTCCATCGGCTATTTTAATGAGTTGTATTTGAATCTATGGGTGTGATACTTCGACCCAAAAACATACGTTGGCCAACCTCTTATCATTGAGTAATGAACTTTAAAACTCATTTTGAATTTCGTACTTTTATGCTTTTCTAATGAAACTTCGACTTTGCGGGTTTCTCTCTTGCATGATTATTTGTGTGAGCAGGCATTGTAGAAACTTGTTTGTGTGTGGGTTTCTTTATTTTTTCGTATTTAGTTGTTAAACTTGAGCAAACACTTAAGGATGCATGCTGCATGGTAAGAGGAAAGCGTATGAGGTGTGAACTTCGCAGTGTGTTTTCGGGTGATTCTATTATAAGTTTTTCGCTCTCGAGATTTAGGTCACCAGCCGGGCCGACCGGGTCACCTTGTTTTCCAAGGCGGCCTGGCTGTGCAAGAATGTGATGTCCTAGCAAAAAAAAAAGTCAAATTTCAAAAAAAAAAAAAAGAAATCCAAAAAATCCGTAAAAACTATGTTTTGTGGAGAAATAAATAAAATATTGTTACATCAGGGGCACATTGAAATTCCTTACCAAAAATAACGTAAAAATAAAATAAAAAATAATTTTATTTTATTTTTTTTCGTGGGCGGGCAAGGGATCTTATGCCACTCTGGTAGCCTAGCCCGAGAAAAAAATGTACCGCTCGATGTTCCTCGTGTTTTTTCAATAACGTTTTGGTTGTTTTAGGTTGAATGATATGACGATTCCGGCTATGAATGTCTCATCTTTGACCTAAGGAACTTCTTATAAACGTGGTTGTACGTGTTTTATTGTCAATATTAGTTGTTTCAGGTTTCTATTTCCACGCATACTTGCGCTTATGTCAACGATCATCACAATGCTACGATACGTTAAGTACCCTGCTGGTTGTTTTGTATCTCAAATTTCAGTTTTAGAATTTTGTAGTTTTTCTTTGTTCCTCCTCACAATTTTGTATCATGGTTTTCTTGTGGTGAATTAAGTGTTGTAAAATGTGGTGTCGATCCTCTAGTGTTGGTTCGGACTTTGTTATTGTAGTAAGGCGTATAGGTACTTATTGGTTGTGCTATGCCTAAGTCCTTAGAGTCCGGGGCCTGATTTTTTTGCCTTTGGTCCTGGTCTTTGAGTCGTAGAGCCGCTAAGGGAGCTTTAGTACGGTCATAGATTAAATAGTGGTCAGTCCTCCTAAAGTCTCGAAGTGGTTCTTAGAATAGAGGTTACTCCTCTGTATTTTAATCTCAACCTTGCTGCTTCTACATGGTCAAAGGAATGGTGGTCGGTCATTCTTAAACCACCAGTACTTAGCCCATACATCGACCGCGGGGCGTCGTCGTTAACGCCCCGCAACTTTTGGAGCCCGGTGTCGGGTGCAATCGATCCGGCACCGCACGGGGCAGCGCGGGACCCTCCCGGTCGCGTCACGCAGGAGTTGGTTTTCAATCCTTCGTCGCAAAAATACATGGAGCTTCCACAAGCCGCTCCGGCCGGGTGCGCCAGCCATACCTCTCGCGTGCCCCTACGACAGGATAGGGCCTACGCGAGGCACGACTTACCCTCCTTGAATCTCTCCCAGCTACCTTGGGCTGCATCTATGACTTTCTTCACCTCTTGGTGGTAGCTCTGAAGGACATACTGAAGGATGCGTTGAAACTTCACAACATCCGACCGCCCGMCCAAAGCTTGTTCCACCCGCTCTAGCCATTCTGAAACTCTCTCCCCACAGAAATGGAAAGTATCGACCTTTGGGATGTTGCTCGGGTTCCTTTCATGTCGGTCGATGGCCGCAATGAGGTCATCGAGTGTCAGACCCTTCTTCGGAACAACTGATGCGCCGCTAGTCTCAGGCATCTTGATAGCCTTTTCTTTTTAAGTTCCCTGGCAAAAAGAAAACAAGCACATCCCCTTATTCAAAATTATACTTCGCCTGGTTTATTCSATCCTTCCTACCTAACCCTTGGTACTTACTTTACCTAATGTTAAACACGATCGTCCCTCATACTTCCTCTACTTGGGTAGGTAAATTTCCTCACCTACACCTAGTCATTCATTATCTGTCCTAACCTTCTCATCATTCCTCTATGCCTTTTCTCGTTCACTTCTCATACCCGGATGTCGTTCCACCAGGGACAACGGCAGGCAACCGTTATCCCCGGCAACGGCGCCACCTGTCGGGCGCAATCGA